TCAGATTTTGTTATTTTAAATCAAAATTGAAAATATTTCTCTTTGAATAGTAAGTTGGATTCACTTATTTTTATTGTAATTACTGATTTATTTGTGTTTATTTCTTTTCTCTTGTTTTGAGCTCTCTATGCTTACTTTATTTTTCACCTTCCTTTAGTATTGATAGAATATTTACATATGTAAGGTATGTAAGGTATGGAATATGTTCCCATTCATTTAGGAGTTACCCTTAACATTTTACTATGCATGATTAACAAAATACAAAATCAATCAATGTATCCAAACTCTTCCTAAAACAAAACCACTGCCACTGAGTTGGATCCAATTTATAGGGACCCCTCCTTGGGTTTCTGAGGCGGTATCATTACAAAGTAGACTGCCCAATCTTTCTTCCCAGGAGAGGCTGGTGGGTTTGAACTGCCAGCAGTCAAATGCCTTAGGCACTATGCCTCCAGAACTCCCTAAAACAAAACAAGAACTTTAAATTGCTGGTCAATTCTTCTCCTAACATACATGTTAGTTGTTTTGTATTTTAGCTCAATCTTGTGTCTTAACCTTCAAATGAATTATTGCCGTTGTTGTTGCATAGTTTATGTTTAACCACATGGTCATTAATCCCTTTGATTCTTTCTTCTTCTATCCTAAGTCTTCTTTCTGGGTTCAATTTCCATCTTCATTTAGAAGTTTCTTTAGTGAAGGCCTGTTCAGACTTATTTTTGTTTATTGGGTGTGTTCCTCAATCTTGAATGATACTTTAGATGGATATAAAATTCTAGGTTGGCAGTTCTTTTCTCTCAGCACTTTGAAGATATTGCCCCCACTATATTCTGGCTAAGAAGCACAAATGTATTATAAGCACAAATGTAATGTAGCTAAGAAGTGTACTGTCAGTATAATTGTTGCTCCTTTTCTCTTTGGTTTATTTTAACTTTTCTGTGTGTGTGCAATGAAAATATAACACCAAAACATTCACCAGCTGTCACTTCAACGTCCACATTTACAATTAAATGACCTTGATTCCATTTTTTATGTAGTGCCATCATTATTGTTATCCTTTTCCAAATTATTCCCCACCATTAACAGAAACTTAATAACCCCCCAAAACACAAACTTCCCCTTTCCTGCTACCTCCCACCTCTGGTAACCATTAATAGCCATTGGTTTCTATATATTTGCTTATTTCACATAAGTGAGATCATATAATATTTGTCCTTTTGTGATTGACTTTTTTCATTCACAACCACATCATATATTTTCAAGGTTTATCCATGTTGTGGCATGCATCAGAACTTCATTTCTCTTTACAGCTGCATAATATTTAATTGTATGTATATACCACACACTGGCTTATTTTAAGGCCTTTGTATCTTTGGCACTTGTGGTATTATGTTTGTGTGTCAACTTGGCTGGGCATGGTTGAATGGCTGGGCAGCTGGTGGTAGTTATTCCCCATGATGAGACTGGTAATCAACTCCATGGTGGGATCTACCACAAGCAGCTGAGTAGCTGCCTTTGGAATATGGTCTGCTTCTTGTATACAAAGAGAAGCCTTGGGAATGGTCTCTAGCCTATGGCATGCCTGGACCCTGCATGTAGCCATGTCATTGCTCAGCAGTCTGCTATGCTCTGCCGACCTTGGAACTTACAATGGACTTAAGTTAATGGCCTGCCATGTGGTTTGATAACATCGGGATTGTGCCTTTTTACTTGTCAACCTTGGGGCTTCTCAGCCTCAGCAGCCAGCAGCTGTCTGAGTGAAGAACTACTTCTAGCTCCAGTGGGCCGTGAGCAGGAGGCAGAGCTGGATCCCAAGGTTGAGGGGCTTTCACCCAGTCCCTTAAGCCTGGCACTTTGAACTTGGATTTAAAGCCTCCAAATTATAAGAATAAACTCCTATTTGTTAAGGCCATCCCATTTGTGGTATATTCCTCTCAGAGCAGCACTAGGTAACCAGAACAGAGCTTTTAAGTTTTACTCTATCTACATATTGATTTCTTTATATTTGCCTTACTAGGGGTTAGTTGGACTTCCTGAATCTGAGGAATGAGATTCTTCATCAGTTCAAGAAAATTCTCAGACATTATATCTTTAAATATTCCTCTTTCACAGTCTCCATATTATCTCCTTCTGAAAATGCAATTAGATATGTGATAGCCCAAACTCTATCTTTCCTGTCTCAACTTGTTTTTCTTTTCTCTTTATTTTTATCTGTTTGCTGAATTCTGAGTAATTTCTTTAGTTCTATCTTCCATATTTCCTAAGTTTTATCTAATTTGTTTACCCCATCCATTGAGCTTTCAATTTTAATGTATTTTTCATTTATAGAAGTTCTATGGAATTATTTTTCAAATCTACCTCACATATTTAATAACATCTTGTTTCATCACATTTTGCATTCCATTTTTATTTCTTTTAAAATTTTAAATATATTTATTTCATATTGTGCATCCCTTATCTTAAGTTCTTAGGGTTCTCCTCTTGTTGTTTCTGCTTAATTTTCTTCATGGTAGCTTATTTCCTGTGTATTATGCTAGCTCTAGTTTGGCAAGAAATTATGTGGGAATCCTAGGCAACCTGAATTGAAAGAATCCAGAGAGAAATTTCATTTGTTTCTTCCAGGCATTCTTGAGAACTAACAACTTAGGACCACTGTTTTATTAAACTCTCAGCTTGACATTTTGTAAACCACATATTGTTGCTAATTGCCATTAAGTCAACTCCAACTCAAGGCGACCTTATATGTAACAGAACAGAACGTTGCCCTGTCCTTCAATATCTTCATGATCGTTAGTATGTAAGCCACATAGGTAGTGGAATTTTGAACGATAAACCCACCTGAGGATAGGCTTATAGTTACACGTTCTTAGTGGAGGCTTTTTCTTGTTTTTTCCACCAAGAGCCAAGCAAAGACTAACACATTTCCTCATTGTTTCCTTTTGTCTGTGGATGGAGTTTTTTTCTAATCAACACTTAACACTGAAGGTGTAACCCTTTGAGAATCTCAGAGTTATGAAGGAAATCTCAGTCTCAACTCCTCAGTTATGCATACTCAAAGACTTATCTACTATTTCTATAAGGTTTTTTAAATCCAGCCCTCTTGGTTACTAAGATTGACAAATGCCTACATGACAACTGTGGCTTCTATATCTACTTACTACTTTGTGTTTTAGGTTTTTATTTTGGAACCCTTTGAATTTCTCTTATTTTTTTTTTTTTTTTGAAGAAACAATGGTTTATTTTTCTAATCAAGTGACCAAGCTGCTGAATCTTAAGGCCTCAAAAGTGCTTCATCTCACCATTCTCACTGAACAAAACCTTCTATGTGATTATTCCTGGTACACAGCAGTTTTGTTTCTCCAGTGTTTTCCATTTTTCAAACAATCATGGCAGACAGTTTTACATGGTGACTTGTTTTCAGGGGATTCTATCAAATGAATCCT